TGAGGGGATGGCGTTGTATTGTACAGAAATTGATTATTTTCTGTCGCGCTAAGTGCACTCGAAGATCTTTTACGTTGAAATCTCAGAATTTCCAAAGATGAAATAACAGTCTGTGCAGTGGCCTGCTGTGTTGTTGTATTAAAATAATTGATTGAAATATTCAATTTCTCTCAGACATATGCAACTATAATAGCTTTTTATCAATTTGATGTCTTAGATTGAACTGATTTCAGGCTTCACCTAATTTGAATTAACTTCGCTGCAACATATTGCACCAACAGCATGGCTGGACTTATGAAATATTCTCCTCGGTATTACACCCTTGTAAACTCACGAACAGGCACACAATCCCAAATACATACACACAAACACATAAACACACAAACACACAAACACACACACACACACACACACACACACACACACACACACACACACACACAAATACAATTATATGCTTACATGCAAAGAAAAATATTGTATTTCATTGTTATACAAGAAAATTACAAACCAATGCCGGAAACCTAACCTAGCCCAAATACTTGTAGTTAGAACAACGTTAATATTATTTCACAAATATAAAAAATGTTTCAAAACCTCACTGGATCGCTGTTTTAGGCAAAAACTGTTGATAAATGAGAACATGGTCGCGGGGAAAAGTCTCTGCGATGGTCTACATCAGTAGGCCACTTGACGCCCGATAGGCTAACACCCAACCCCACCCCCCCCCCAACCCCACCCCACTAGTACGTAGTACGTATGCCTCCACCACCGTGGTTCTTGACAAACCCTGAGTATCATTATCACAAGATCGGGTTGCTCGCTAGTTTAGACTGTAAACACACGCGATGCGAGAGCCCTCTGCCGTCTAGTGCCTCTAAGCATCTAACGTTGTCGCATCCTCACAGACCTTTAGTGGAGAAAAAAAGCTATTAGAAGTTGAAGAGTACAAACCTGCCGGTTTTGCCTACTTTTTATAGACGTCGCTTGGGTGTCCACGATAAGTAAACAGAGACGGTGACTGAAACTTCAATCTGATGTTTTTAATTATTTATCAGTGTGTGTGTGTGTGTGTGAGTGTGTGTGTGTGTGTGTGTGTGTGTGTGTGTGTGTTGATAATAACTGTACGTTTCTTTTTTCCCCCAGTCTTCTCGCCCCGATAAGGCTGAGGAGAGACCTACAACAACACGTCAACTCTTGGCTCCTGTCCCACGAAAAGGGGCATACTACTATTTTTATTTTTGCATCGGATTCACGTTCCTTCGGGAGTCGTCCACTCTGCGACAGAAACTATCGACCAGCCTTGTGCGACGACCGTGCATTAACTTAATGAAATGACGTCGACGTCTTATTTCTCTACAACGGAATAGATTTTTATCCATCAATCCATCGCGGAGTCTCAAGATTGTGCGGCGTTCAAGCGAGGTTGAAGAAGAAAGAAACACCAGTTCAGTCGTCGCTCTTATATTCTAGGGATTTTTATACCTTCAGACGAGAAAAGACTGACGTTTGATCTACCCGCAGCGTGTGTGTTTTTGTGCATGGATAATTGCAGATTCCTATCGGGGTCGTGGATTTTATGCTGAGAACAGGTACGTGACGTGATGAATAGATGGATGAAAGACGTGAGAGATATCCCCTTACGGCCTGAGAGATGTGTGCATGTTCTTTCCTTTAGACACTTTTGTGTTTATGTTAATGTGCTGCTGATAATTGCTAGGTTTTTGTCCCGCCTCTTTGTGCAGTGCTTGCTTTCATGGTTGACAAGCTTTGTTTCGTTTGGTTTTTGTTCGTCTTCTTTTTTATCTTCCTCTCGGGCACGTCTTTTTATTGTTTGTCTTGATGAGGGACTCTTGCTGACGACACACGACAGTTGTTGAAAGATGTCTTGAGTGAACTTAATAAATACAATGTGTGTGTGTGTGAGTGAGTGTGTGTGTGTGCGTGCATGTGTGTGTGTGTGTGTGTGTGTGTATGTGTGTGTGTGTGTTTGTGCGTGTGGGGGGGGCATAATTATAGTATATTACTATTACCCTCTCATTATGCTCAATCATTCATCAACTGTTATGTGGCTGTCTGTTTGTATGATATGATAATATATTCATGCATAATATACATATACCTTAATATATATGATATATATGTATGAATATATTATGACGTGTATGTGTTTATATGTGCACTTTGTGAACACCAAAGCCTTTTTTATCTCTCTTGCTTTTTGTCTTATTGGAGCGGTGCCTTAGATCACTTACTGGCAGTGTGAGTGTCCGTCTCTGGCGTCAGTCATCAAAGACTTGACATTATGCACAAGATGGTAGGCCTACCAGGTGTTGTCAGGTTCTGCTGTTTGCTTTGGTTCGTGTTTGTGATATCTCTGTCCCCCCAGCCTTACTTCAGTTGTGACGTTTTTGAGTTGAGAACATCGTTGGCCTGTGTAGTTTTGTTTGTGTCTTTGTCGTTTTAGTTTCTAGGCTGTTGTTTTTGTTTTCTTTTAACCAGGCAGCGGTTCTAATGGCGCTTGTTTTCCTGGTGCTGCTGTTGTTTTGTATATTTCGTTTATTGGCGCTGACGAGTATTACACATGTCTGACGGTGAAAGCGTACAGACACATGCTCGATTTATTTCTCTCTATTTTCTCTATTTTTCTCTTTTTTTTCTTTGTCCTCCCCTACCCTCTCCATCTCTTTCTTTCTCTCTCTCCT